CAGCAAAGGTGATACAAATCTAATCAATATAACTCCAAGATGGCATTTGTGCTATTCCTTCCAAGGTGTACTTCAGTGAGGCAGCATAGATAATATATTCTGATTTCAATTTCACGTAACACGCAAGAAGATCACCAACATTAAGATCAGAAGAGCTCATAATAGATTCCTGAAAGACCTTCCAGATTTCCTGCAGGAAGGCTAAGAACTAAACTTGTCAATTCTGGTAAAATGAGGATTTTTATAATAGAGAAGTTCTATGTCAGAGAGGAAAAAAAAATAAAAAAAGAAGTCCTGTGTAGATTATCATAAGGAATAACAATAGGTCATGTTAGTATGTTGATCTTTGCCATGACAAGAATTCCAATGAAATTTACATGTGTGAACTTCACAGCAAAATATGCTGGAGTGATTCTGGTAGCAGCATGGTAATTTGGAAATGCAAATTTGGGACATAGATGCCAAGTTACAAGGTTTAAGATAGATAGGTGTTACAAGAAGATGGAATAATAGCTTTTAGAAGAATTTGGGGAGGGGGGAAACCAATCTAAATAGTCGTTGTTGAGCTTTGAGCAACTGGTTAAAATATACAAAGGGCTGGACTTGAGCGTAGCACTACTGGTAATTCTAGGCAGGTTTGTTGACATGGAACACCTGCAGAATTAGATCTAAAATTCATTCCAGGTGCCAGGAATGCTGAGCATATATAGGATATATTGACTTTAGTAGGAATTATGTGTTTGACATGTCTGAAAAAACAGACTACAAACTTAGGTGCTTAAGTACAGCCTATAGGTTAAACCTTAATCATGTTCAGTGAAGTGGAAAAACTGAAAAGGAAATCAAAGGAGACAGAATTTCACTTGCAGGTGTCAGGTTTGAAAATGCTGACTTAAGCATGATCAGAAATCTTGGAAAACTTCTAAGATAGTTTTATGTACTGTACAGCAAGAGTTCTTAAGTTTTTATTACCCATTGATCCCAATTTAAAGTATCCCAATAAATATATATATGGTTAACCATTAAAGAATGAGTGACAGTCACATCAATGTGATGTTGAAATAACAAATACTCAAGTCATAATATATCACTTCAAGAAATTTTATTGTGAACATAGTCAAATGTGGCATTTGTTAAATGGAACTTTTGTAACAGTTACCTAGACTCCCAAGCAACATCACATATTATTTTACAATGGTTAGAATCAAACTTTTTTTTTGTTTTGTCAGAGGAAAAAATGTACAAATTATTTTCTCCAGAGAATTGTCACCATTCTTCCAAGTTGCTGTCATTAGATTGACCATTCCAATATGCTGGAATAGATATGGATGCACTGAACCAGGTGTTTGCAAACTCCTTAACATTTTAATGTATACTTTATGCTGACTAACTTTCAAACTGATATGGTAAAAATATGGAAGAAGGAAAGGCAATGCAACAAAAAGAAGGGATATCATAATACAAAGAACAGACATACAAGGGGTAAATTAATAAAGTAGTGTTTTTCCAAACCCATTTTTTCCTATATTTTAAGAAGCCATGGGTCAACCCAATTTAGCACTAATGTAAGTCATTCCAATTTGAAAATCCCCTACAATTACTAACTCTCTGTGACATCAACTGCCAGCTGAATCTGGAACCAGAACATCCTCCCTTCCCCCTCCCCTTCCCCTTCCCCTTCCCCTTTCCCTTCCCCTTCCCCTTCCCCTTTCCCTTCCCCTTCCCCTTCCCCGAAACTGGTGTTGGAGCAGTGAGGGCTGTTTGAAGAGGCAAATTCCTGCCCAGAGGGTGCAGTCCCCACGTCTGCTCCGTGGCATGTGGCTCAAGGTCAGACTCCCCTCTTGTCACACACATCCATGGCCAGGTGTAGCCATTGCTGTGCTGGTGCACTCCAGCACTGGAGTCATGAAACCTCCATTCAGCAAAGGGGGGTAAATAGTTCACTGATGGATGAATGTAATTACTGTAACTACTTAAAGATGAAAAAAATTAAGAGACCAAATTCTTGAAGTGTTAAATGGGTTTTGTCTCAGTGTTGCAGCTGCTTTCTTACTGAGGTGCTTGGCAATTTTTTTAATATAAAATAAAAATTGCCTGGAACACCAAACATATGCTTCTAGTGAGGTTCTTACTACCTCCCAAACACATGTGCCCAGTTTAGTTAGAAGTGCCATTCAGTATTTTCACTGAATGTTCTACCCTTAGTTCCAAAAGAATGAAACCTGAAAAAATATTTACTCTAATTGTGAATGATTGGCACCATTTTAGTAGCTCACTGTAAACGCAAATCAGAACTGTGTTTTATGAAACACATTTTTAAAAACCATAAACCTCCCTCCACAAGACTTGAATGACCCGGTCACTTCAATTCAGTGCTGCAACTTTTGTCCAGTCAGTGCATATGACTGAGAAATACTTCCTAAGCAAATAAAAAGAAGATTTTCCTGTCCAAAATACTCAAACAGCTCTTAGATTCTTTTATCCAAAATTGTAACCTAGATTCCAAATGAATGAAACCTGAAAAAATATTTACTCAATTATGCACAACTGACACAGGCTTTTTGGTTGTGCTAAGCAGTTGAATGTAAATGCACATCTGAAACATTTCCCCAGCCAGGTTTTTATGGTAAGCTACATCAGTGACAATTAATTTTGTAAATAAACATAATCCATAATTATGGGTCAACAAACATTCAAAATTATGTTTTCATTTATAAATACCCCCATTTCCCAATAACTTGTAAGTAATTAATTTCTACAGAAGTGCATTACTTCTGATTAGAGCTAGCCAAGGCTTTCTGGAAAAGTTGCAGTGAATTTCAACTGCTAATACTATATTTTATGTAGCATCTCTGAAATTAAACAACAGCCTTATTGGAATGTAAAACAGCATTTCAAACTTGCTTGCTGGATATACAGTCAATTTGAGGGCTTCCAGGTAATCTATTAATATTAGATTGGTTACTGCTGCTGCCAAAAGGCAGGTGGATAAACCAATATGGAAATGAGAATAAAGCAAAGGAGGGCAACACTCCTTTTCTCTAGATGGGAATATTAACATCAAGCCCTAAAAGTACCTTAAATGTATCAGGCAGTCTACATCCAGATAGAAGGCTAATGCTTGTATCAGAATAACCAAGATATACCCCAAACAGAGCACCCTAAGTATTTTGATTCCTTGTTGTTATAGTATGATGAAAACTTTATAATTTGTACATACTCAGAGAACTTCAGTTTTTATTCTCAGAGCAAGGTACCCAGAAAGGCAATCATTTGCTCACAAAGAACTGTGGATAAACTGAACAGATACTTGCAAGGTCTGACTTGCAGTGTAGTTCATTCAGCAGTCAGAGCAAAGGGAAAAAAGTGGTACAGAGCCACAAGCTGATTGACTCCATCTTCTTGGCAGGAAAAAAAAAAAAAAAGCTTTTTCTCCAATTGTCTTATTTTTTTAGGTAGTAATTCAGTACAAAATCTCAGGACAATCAGACATACTTATTATTCTAAAACAGTATTTTGAGATTTATAACCCTCTTGTTTACCATTCTAAACAGAAACAGATCTTTAATATAGTCTTTAGTGTCAGGTTATGATTTCATTAAAGTTCCTAAACAAGGAAATATGTGGTCTGTGGTACAAATAAACATGCCCTGTGGTTCCATTTCTCTCCTGCTGGCACAAAAATCAGAAGAATAATTATGTTATCTTTTGTTAGTCTTGGAAGAATTATAATCAAATCTTTGCACCACCTAATTCTATGATGAATGACAAGATGTTTTCTAAATAAACAGTTGTAAAGGCCACATTCTCTTTTGAACTGGCATTTAGATATGAGATAAACAGACAGAGTCAGACTTTCTGTAAGTTTTATATGCAGCAGTTTTGTGTAAATTTAATTGCAGGAAGATTTTAATCTGTGAGACTCCTTGGAGTTTATGTTGGAACAGAGTCCTTCTAACTCTATAAATCAAGTGATTGCTGATCCCACCAGAAATGTTAAAATTCTTAAAAATTGAATCCATATCTATAGCACAGCAATATAATTTTCAAAGTAGAGTGGATGGCAGTATAAATAATGTGTGCAATACCTACAGGGTGAGTTAAATTTTTAAAGAGACGAAGTAATCTCTTAAAATGCTGACAGTATTTTGATTGCTATTATTTTGAATGCATATTTTGATGAGTGTACAAAACTCTGTTTCTCAAAGATATGAAAGCTTTACAAATCTGAATCTCTTCATCATCGGAATGAAACATGTTTGATATTTTAAGATGTATCTGTTAAATTTCTCCTTTCCAAAGCTGATAGAAGACTTTAGGATCAAGAATGTATTTAGGAGAAGAAATGAGCATTAATAAATTAAATGTTCCCACATTTCTGTTTGGGTTTGGATACTTAGGCAACATGAAGAAAAAACTGTCATAGATCTATGCATAATACTTCAATGGAATTTACTGGATTGCTTTAACCAAGCATATAGCAGGGATTGTAATTGACACCCCAAATATGGAACCCCAAATAGACAAAATCCTTCAAAATCCAGTAGTTAAACCAAACTGACAGAAATGGTATATTGTTTAAGAGTGATGTGATGCAGTATGGAGGATAACAGTTCAGCAAGAGCAATAACTCAGTGTACAGAATTTCACCATACTTAAATAGGCAGAGGCAGAGCTACAGTACCCCCTCAGCAAACTGAAATTTCTCAGACCAAAGCAATAAGTGATTCACAGTATTCATAACCTCTGTATGATACTTATCAAGCTCTTTGATTGTGAACTTCCACCACACATGTTATGGACTCTTAATAAGACATAAAAGCACTTTGCTGTTTTCAACATTTCTGCTCCTAAACTTTCAGCTTTGTATTTGACCCACTGGTTGAGAAGCCATTAGCTCCAGCAAAGATCTGAGGAAATGAGCTGATTTGATGTATGTGAAATTGCTTCTTGGTTTAAAGTACAGCATGCCATGATCCAAAAGACCCAGAGTGCTTAAATAATGCCAGGAAGAACAGTTTTAATGAGTTTTTGAAGTAAAAAAGAAGCCAAAGATCATACAGGAATCCTGAAGTATGTTTCTCAGAACTCACCTCTCTGAGGTGACATAGAAATTCTGCACTAATTACAACCTCCTACAGGCTAGCAAACCTCAAGCTGAGTTTGTGGCAGTAAAGCAGCTGTAGGTGAAAATGGGCCACCAGGAGAATGCACAGTCCAACTTCTGCTGTAGGAATGTCTATAATAACAAATGCCCCATCACAGCAGAAATATTTGTCAGGAAGCTCATTATAGCAGCTAGTTGTACTACATACAATGGGAACAATAAAGAAAGTATGAGAAGGACTTTTTTCTTTCTAGACTTCACAATTAAAATCAATTATGTAAGTAAATTGCTTTAAGTGAATGCCATTCTTTAGAATCTCAACCTTCAACAGACTTAGACAGTAAAAGTGAGACTACATCAGCTACAGAATAATATTTGTGTTCTTCATGAAGGCCAGCCAAGTTAGACTGGACAGGGTATGAACTCGCTAGTTTGGCAAGGAGGTGCATGTCAAGAATAGCTTTTATGTAAAAGATGGCTTTTTAGTTCCTCTGATATATTTGAATTAAGAAAATGGACTGGAAACAAACTGTTAGTTTATTATCCTATCTGTGACAGCAATCCTTAGAAGATAATTAGGAAAAGGATGAATAAACAATACAAATGTCTTTCAGGGGCCTGAGGGAATCAATAGACTTTAATAGCCCAGAGCAGTCCCACCAGGGATGCACACATATGCAGTTGGCCAGTGGGCCCAGGAGCCCCATTTGGCTCACATTTGGAACTGCAGAACTTGAGCCACATCACCAGTGGACGTGCCATTAATAGTGTTTTAATCACCTTCCTTGACCCTTGTCCTAGCTCATTTTAAGGTAGCTATACACCAAACACTTTAGAATCCTGGAACTATTGGAAATGCATAAATCTGTTAAAATGATAAAAGGAAAAAACATCTACTAAGCATACATAAAGAAACCATTACTAGTGTCAAACTCCTAGCAGGTGTTACTTGTTACATTGCTATGTTTTGCAATATGGAAGAGCTGATAACAAAACCTGCCCAACTAAAATTGGATGGACACTGAAGAAAAATAAGTGTGTTTATGTAGCCTTAAATATAGTGGTTGGATAGACAAATCCATCTAATTACATGAATATCAATTTTCAGAGACTGTCTCTGAATTGTTTAGTCTGCATCCAGCTCTCCAAATGCAAACTGAATGCTTCTCTCTGCATGTTCTACATTAGATGAACCATGAACAGCATTAGACAAAATATCATGCGCAAACTGAGCCCGAATTGACTTAGGGGAGGTCTTCTTTGCTTCTTCTGGATTGGTTGGACCCATTAGTTTCCTCCATTCTTCCACAGCATTTTCCTTTGATAAGACCATTATCACTGATGGACCCCTGTAAAATCAATATAAAAAAAAACTCTTGCACTATTCTGAGATTTCTGAGATGCAGCCTCAGATTTAATGTCAGAGGTACCATGAAGAGTTATAATAAGCATTGAACTATCTTAATTTTATTAAACTGCTTAAATATTAAAATTTGTTTCTGTGTATTTTATTTAAGGAAAAGTCCCATATTTGAAAGCCAAAGAGATTATGATGATCGGATATTGGATTTTCTTGTCCAAAGGACATTCTCACCCAATAATTTCTGAAGCAAGACAATACATACTGTTTTTATCAGCTATCCTAACAATATTATGAGTAAGATATTTGTCCCGCATGAGAAGAAAAAGGATTCCATTGGAAATCTGTTCCTTTTTAGGGAAAATAAAATCCAAAATAAAACTATCCATAAGTTTGAAAAGAATTGTAAATCTCCCTTTTAAAGGAAGAGTAGTCTGTGCTAGAAGACATTAAACTTGCCAGAAAGAGTGACAGGTTGTAAAATCCTTGCTCCAGTTATGGTGTAACATGATTTGTTGGCACTGTAGAAAGTGTGATGTCTACTTACATACCTCAGTGCTGTAAACCAAGACACTTACTGTGTCATAAAATTCACCAACTCTTCATAAAAGGGTTTTCCTTCATGATCCTTGTAAAAGTGTGCAGCCATTTCACGAGTTAAAGCTTGTTCTTTTACCTTTGAGATGCTAAACCCAGCCTCTTTAACTTTTTTCATAATTTCATCTAGGAAAATAACAAACAAGCTCATTTTTTATTTGAAATGGTTTAGATGCAAAAAATGCAGACCCTAAACACCCAAACTTTAAAAATTTCAGAAAATACTAGATGCCTTTTTCTAAAAAAATCACCAATAGCTATTAGAATTCTTCTTACAATATCAAACCAAATATGGACAACACAAGAAACACTTCAACAGTCCTGTAAAATAGGCAGAAACCATTTTCACTGCATTACCCAGCTTTATGCACGTATCAAACCCAGATTTTAATAAACTATGCTAATAGCATTCACTGTTATTTCTCACATTTAGCAGAATGCGGACTGTAGTTGTAATGCTGTATCAGACATCAGCTGGCTGGCCAAAATCAATCTGTATTTTCACAAGAGGGGAAGATAAACTCACAAATGTCAATGATGAATTAGCATTAGAAAGACTACTGAAATTTGTTAGGGCAGAATAGAATAATGCTAAGCTAAGTAGGAGGTCTAGGTAGAGGATTTTTGAAGAATGGCAGCAAAACGTCCTTAAGACAAGATTCTAAATTCTACATAGTGCTCTTTTTATTTTGATTATTTTCCTCCTTATTCCCTTACACTGACAGTAAGTAAAACCAAGGATGGGAATGCATCTAACTGAGCAATGACCCCTTTTGAGTCAGTAGAGATACCAGTGTGAAATAAGTAATACAAGTTTGGCAAGTGCCTCTCTGACTAATAAAGATGCTGGGCAGGTAGTCTGCAGAAGTGCCTGGCCCTTAAGCAATTTAACTTAGCTAGGAACTCTCTTTCTTTGATTCACCACTATTCCAGTGAAGAAAGACATATAGGCAGTGGAAGCAAAAGAAACATCACATTTGAGATCTCTCTCTGAATTATTCAAGCCGTATAAAAGCATTTCTCTGCACAGAAAATGTACTTCAGAGAGTCAGAAGAATGCATTTGATGTGTGCATTTGATGCATTTGATTACTGCAGTGTGCATTGCTAATCCTTTGTAAAAATTATTACAACACTAGATATAGCCCATACTTTCTAAGTGCCTTACCTTTATGAGTCTTAGCAGCATCAGGTTTGATTAATGCAAAGGTTTGTTCCTCAGGGAAGAAGAACTCTAGTTCCTTCTGAGCATCGCTGGGTGTAGAGCTGCCATGCAGCTGATTGATAGGTACATTTTCAATGGCATACTGTGCACGCAAACTAGGAGGCATTAAAAGAGTGAGGTTACTTAAAAGCATAGCCATTTTGAGCTCTGAACTATAATTAGCCTCAACCCAGGGAATATAAATTACTGTTGATCTGGAAATCTGAACTATAAACACTCTCCCTCCCAACACTGGTGTTGTTATATTTCCAAGAAGTACCAGTTATTTATTAATGAAATGGCACTTCTATCAGCAGCAGGTGAGGGGATACCTTTGCAGTTTCCTAGAGCAATGTGATAAGCAGGCAGAACTAAGGTGTCTTTTTATAAACTGTGTAGGAGAAACAGTCACAAATGAAGTATTCTACTGATGCAAAGTTTTCAATAAGCTACAAGAGAATCTTAGTGGTATTTCAAGAAAAAAATAATGGTGGCATTTCAAGACACCCTCTCCCGCCCCCGCCACTATTAAGAATCGGTATGACCAGCATTTTTTCTCTCACTCAAGAGTTCCCCTTTCGCTTCACTGCACTCTTTAAAACTCAGATTTTAATTCTGTTTAGCAGCCATTATAGCTCAAAAAATACTGAGGTTCCTATGTGTAATATCCTATTACCTCCAAGAAAAGCTCAAAAATGGCATGAATGCATATCTGTGTCCAGATGGTGTCACTATAGTTACACTAGTTGGAATGTGGAATGCGATGAGAAACGTGAAGATAAATTGGAAGCTGTGAAGGATGGTTCACTTCTGTGACTATTACCTCTCTGGATTTTCCTTAGCCTCTTCAAGGATCTTTGGGCCTAGTAAACTTCTCCAGTGTGACACAGCATTTTCTCCTGTCAGAGCCAATATAAGTGTTGGACCACTGTACATGGGGAAAAGTGCATTAAAAAAAAAAAAAAAAAAAGACCAAAAACTCTTGGAAATTTTAAAAAGTAATTTGATTATATATAGCCCAGACTAGGAAAATGAGCCCCAGTATTGGGGAACCTTAAAACTGATCTGATAGTTTAAACAAGTACAGGCTGATAAAAGCTTATGGGGCTTAAATATGAATTTAAATTGCAAAGTTACCGTGTTTTGTCACAATGGCAAGACAGAGGAAGACTGATCATGCCTCAGTCATGTCCCAGCTTCATATGAAGAGAATATCCAAACATGATTTGTTTCTCTTCCCCAAGTTATCCAGCACACGGCCTTGTTGAAGATTTCAGAGCTCTCCTACAGACAACCTAAACGCAGCATTTTCAGAGCAGACCTAAGCTGTTTTCACTCAAATCAGTGGACTTGGCCACTGAGATATCATACATACTGCAATATGGAGTAGCTCATAACTTTTAAAGGCTTGATTTTTTTATTTGTTGTTCCATTGTCTGCAGTTATCTGTTCCTATTTTGTCTTTTACTAAGCTTTTAGACACGTCTATCTTGCAGCCATGTATTATCCAGGAAGTGTTCAACACCAGGTTGGATGGGGCTCTGAGCAACCTATTCAGGTGAAAGGTATCCCTGCCCATGGCAGGGGGATGGGACTAGATGAGCAATAATGAACCCTTACAACCCAGACCATTCTATCTCTGATTCAACAATTATTTAATGTGGAAATTTCACTCTTTTCTGATTCTATATGGATTCTATTGATTTACGTGCTCCTTTTTCATTCAGCATACCTGGTCATTTGCTCTAGAAGGACTGGGAAGTAGTCTTGATCTACATGCTCTTTGTAAAATGTACGTACTTGGTCCTCAGATAGAATTATTTCTTTCTGCATTGCTATTTGGAAACCATCATCCTGTATCCTTTGAATGATGGACTCTGTTAAATATATTTAAATAATGCTAAATGGCCATCCATTCATTCATTTGCATACTTGTAGAGAAATGACACAGACTTTTCGATGATAATGTTAAATTTTTTATGGGTGAATTTGTTTCCTAACTAAAGAACAGGCAACTAATTTAAAGGAACTGCTAGGAGGCATCACTAGTTGCCTGGACACTCAGAAAAGTGATCCTCATTGTGTTTAGGCTTTCTCTTGCTTAAAAAACCTTAGTAGGAAATCCTAACTGAGAAATATGATACATGTTGTTACCAGCAAAAGAAGGTCTAAGGAATTTGAACAGGTGAAATGTTTATTTAACTAAGTCTTACAAGACCACATGGGTAAGTCATCAGTATTTGGCACAAGTCAAAATTACCTACAAAATTAATGTGTAATAACATGACTGCAGAACTGCTGCTCTAAGCAACATGCTAGACAGCCATAAGGAAAATAAATTCACAAAGAAAGATCAAAATTGTAGTCTTTCAGTTCTCTGCACATAAGATTGCTCAAGTACAGGGATTCTCAATTTAGAAATAAAAATACTATCTGAAATCGAGGAGAAATGTAAATATATGACTGAAAAGAAAAGTAAACCTGTTTGGATGAAGCTTCATGTTATGGGGTAGATTTTTAACTTAATCTGTAAAAATGCTGTTTGTTTAGAACTGCCTTTGGGCAGCACTGCCTCATGCAGCATAGAACATCTTGGGCTGGATATTTTTCCCCTTGCCATTGATTTATCTTGAGTCTGATATTCAGGAATATCAGCTACTTTATTATGGTGAGAAATATAGTCCCCTATACTACATTTGAAAATATGAGCTTCTCTGAAAGGTCTTCTAGAAATATTTCATCTGCAGAATTTCTTGAAAAATTAACCAAAGGAACAAATTATCATTGACATTTGCATTCTCAATATATGAATAATATTAACCTCAAAATTCATTCCAGACAAGGATTACTGCTGGCCTAATGCTGGAGAGACAGTATAACTTTAAAAAATATCATTAATTGAGTTAAAATTTATAATTCAAAATTCAAATTATGAGAGTATTTATATACCCTTGATAGAAAATACAGTTATTAACACTTACTTCGCCTTTCCTTCAAGAGAGTAGGTCTAATTATGGCCAAAGTCCTTTCAATGGGATGTTTTGCTGTACTTATATTAAAGTTTGGGAAAAAGAATGCAAGCTGTCTGCTGGCATCTTCAATACTGTCTTGCACATCACATAAATTTACCAGACTCTCAGTTTCCTTGAGTCCTGGCAATCTGATGAAACATGAAGTAATACAGTATTTAAGTCATAGCTTAATGTTAACAAGCTGAATTTTTGAAGACGTACTTTATTAAAATTTAGTAAAAGATAAGAATAGAATGCAAAACTAAGTTTTTATTAAATTCATATTAATGAGTAAAGTAACATTTCTGAGAAGAGAATTATTACTCTTCTCAAGAAGTGCATGATCATGTGCTCTGAAGGAGAAATCTCAACCAGGCTGCTTTAACAATGCCCCTCTAGTTAATCCAAAATAGTTTATCTGTTTCATGAGATAGAATTACTATTGACAAGTGTACAGTGTATAATGAATGATCAATAGAAGTCTTGTGCTTAATTTGTGTACAGTGTGATTATAAAAATGATAGCAGTATAGAGCAGTTGATAACAGAGACACTCCTCATTGTTTCTTGCCTATTTGTTTAGCTGTGTAAATAAAGTTCCTCTTAGCTACTTGTAGGAAATGTAGTATTCTCCAACTGTACTAAATTAGTGCAGAAAGGGATGCAGCAGGCATCGACAAAAATGTCAATTACTATAACAAATTCATTTTCGGACAAAGCTCATGTTGCTTTAAGTAAATGTCTAAATATAAAACTTGATCTGATACTTGTATTTTTGTGAATACTCTATTGTCTGAGGCTGTGTATACAACTATCATCCTTAAAATTCTCTACAAACCCTTGGCAGTGAAGAAAAACACACATTTCAAGATACCATGGATGTGAACATGTGTTTGTGAACATCTGATCCTTACAAATTTTTTTGTGTCTTGGAGCAGGGTGGGGACCCAAACCCCAAGTATGCTTCCCCTTCTCTGCTGGCTTTTACAGTGTTCTCAGGGAGAAGAGCATGCCTCAGGTGTGCCCTGGTCTGCCCTGGGCCATATCTACAGCTTCCCAAGGAACATAGGGGTAGACTTGGGAACGAGTGCAACCTTCTGTGCAGGCAGTGCAGGCAGTGCCCTGGCATGGGTGAACTGGAATTGCAAGGACTGCATCAGGTTTGAAGTGTGTCATTGTTCCCATTGTTCTGAGAACCCACTGAAGGTGAGTTCAAAGAGATCAATGACCTTGGCTTGTCATCTTTAACTAGGAAGCAAGGAACTTCTGAATTCCCATGAGAACTGGGGTTGCATCTCTACTAGTGGTCCTGTGAAGGATTAGATGATGAACTCTTCCTGCTCCCTGGACCTGCACACATGGACACGTCTGTGTCTGTAGGAGCATGCCTTGGTTTATGGTGTGCTCTAAACAATGTGACTGAATCAAAGATACACATTTTGACTGGTACTTACTTGATTGGCTCCTCAGGCTCAGCAGACTCACTTGTTTTGTGTAGGTCTATCCATTGAGGAATAGCATCAGTTGATTCTTTTTTTGTGATTATCAAAACATGGCATGGTCCACTCTTCATGAATTGAACAAATGCATCAAAGTCAGGCTAAAAAACATAATTTCCCCCCTTATGAATTGCAGGACTCTGAGTTTATCATGGTTTCTTACAAGATCTCCCTGTTACTTCCTTTCTAAACCACAGTGCAGCCATCTAGTGATTACTATCAGTTGTCTTTTTTCTCTCTGAATTTAGTAGGAACCCTCTCATTTCACTCTTATTCATTTGGAATGCCACAGGAACATCTTCCCCCCTTCTCCTTCAGATTAGGTGAACCCTTCCATTGCTCCCTCTAATAAAATCAAACAAACTGTTTGTTTTAATAGAATTCCTGTCTCTGTCTATCTTACATTTCTAGCAGAAGGTATAAATATTTGCTAAGGAACTTCATTTTTTGTCTCAGATCCTTCTGAAGAGTTAATTTGAGTTATCACACTGCTGGAAAATATGACCATATACATGTGCTAGTTTGCTAGATCGTTGCCATTTAGTGGTGGACAGCCTAGTATAATTTTTTTCTTGACCTTTATATCTGTCTTTAGCTACTTTTTGTCCCCTAATATAGGAGAAGGCAAAAAAAAATTTTTGGCTGAGATGCTTTCCCTCTCTGCCTGTGCACATGTTTATTCCCAGAACTACCCCATGATAAAATCTGGAAAGAAATAAAAAATATGATATATAATGCCACTTATTTTCTGGTTGTAAAAATATATATACAGTGTCACATAGAAGACACTGGATTTTGGGTTTGTGCCACATTTCAGCACCTAATAGTGCTGAATTGTGGTTGAGTAATTTCAGAAATAAGATATACAGCATTCTAATTTTCTTTCCTATAAAGGTCACTACTCCTGTCATAACATGTTTTAAAATCAGTATAATTTTATTTTGATAAATAGTGTTATCGATTTAGTTCAATTTCTAAGGACCATACACATTTAGATAACAGAAAGGTGACCTAAATCTTTTAACATTTAATTGGAGGTCAGTTTAATTTGGTTTGAATATTAGACTGCTACATAGTGATATTTATAGGAGTCAGTGAAAGAAAAGGGAGAAAGAATACTTTTTTTTTTTTTTATGTACTAAATCTACATTAATTCAGTTCTTCAATATACTTAAAATTTACCATACAGAGATTTGTAAGCAAATCTGGTAACAATTATATGTTGTACCTGTTCCTTTCATTTAGGTTTTTAGTTTGTTTTTACCTCTTCTTTCTTCCGGGCATAAAATACTCTGATTTGCTCTTCAGTAAGCATTCTCTCCTCATCTGCTTTAATGTCAAATCCTGCATCTTTAATCTGAAATTATTCTGTTATTACTTAGGGACGTTTGAAAATTGATACATACAAAATCATATGTTATTGTAAATCTAAAGATTGATTGGTTTTGGAAGCTATGTTAAATTTAAAATTCTCTGAAATATTCAAAATATAACCACTATCTTTGCCTAAACTGAACTTCCAGCCTTTCAAAGCACTTCACTAAATTCAGGATTACAATACCCCTAAGTTAATGTTTGAGAAAAAATATAGTGCAGTTCAATGTATGAAGTACATTCATTCAGTAGTTAGTAATCCCTTTTATTTCACATTAATTAAATTACTTTGGATCCCTGTGAGTGGTTAATATGCAACTTATTTTGCAAGATATTATAAATTATATTGTAACCATAGTAGTCACATAAATGTGCTCTTGTTGACAGTTGTATTAGACTAAACTACTTGGCTTTAGAAACAGCAAATAAGGAAAAATTGAATCTACTTTATAATTTTCTGTTTTAAGCTAGGTTACTGAACTAAATGCAAGCATTTGTGAGAGATGTACACATATGACTTGCATCAAAGTTTGCAGTTCATTGGTATGAGGTTTGTACCATATACTGATATTTTAACAGCCAAGGCAGTACCAGCCCCAGTACTGATGATACACCAATATTAACCTGTGTACCAGCACTCTGCTCTGTAAAAACCCCTGTGGTGCTGCTGAGTGTTTTCAACCTGCCCCAAAAAGGCTGACTGTGCAGCCAGTGCTGGAAAATACACCTCATGAGCCAAGTAGCAGCTGCTCCAGCTAAACTCTTTTCAAGCACTGCCTTTTTTTTTTTTTTTTTTTTTTTTTTCCCCTTTACTGAGCTTCCTTCTGTTCCAGCCAAGGTAGACTAATTGCAGAAAAAACCTATATAGCACTCTGATTCCCTTTCCTGCAAAGGTCACTATCCCTATCACAACACTTATTAAAATTATTTTAATTTGGTCTTGATATATATTGTTGTAAGGCTTTTTATTTTTTTTTTTTCATAACAGAAGCAATATGAATCAATGTCTAACCTCTGCTGGCATAGAATATTAAAGCAATAGTATAAATTTGAATGTCATATTATTTCGGGAAAAATTATTGTGCTTTTATTATCCTTAGCAGAGAAGCTTTATCAGATTCTGTTCCAAAGTCTGGGCATAAATTAGGATCTACTTAACCTTACATTTTGCTATTGTGCCTCTTAAATAAATAGAATAAATGAATACTTAAAAATTCTCTCTACCTTCTTTTTAATTTCTTCTACACGTCCTGCTAAGACATCATCAGGTTTTATAATTCCAACAGAATAAGTGAGTACTTCTGAAAAAGGGAAAAAATAATGTGCTAAGTAATACATTCATCAAAATAAAGGGAATCATCTTTACTGGACCTGAAGTTTACAGTTAAACTTTCGACTGTAACTCGATCAGATCCCAAAAACTGTAGAAAAATTTAAGATGGTGATAATGGAAACAGCAGACTACTACTTGTTATGAATACTACAAACACTTAAGCAACTGCATGTGTTAAGGAAAATATTCCTGCCAAATGTTAGTGTATTACAGTATCTGAGAGATCCCTTAACATGAAGCTGAAGCTGAACCTGAGCTAAAGCTCTGTTTTCTGACTTTCTGTCATGTTTAGATTTTGGGGATTAGTGTGAAGTCTGTAGATAATTGTTAAATGATAATGGGGATTAGTGTGAAGTCTGTAGATAATTGTTAAATGATAATACTGTACTTCTAGGTCTCAAAGGGTTTATGAGAAAAAATATAGGCTAAAGCTGAGGTCAGGAATATATCAGTTGAACAATACAATAAAACAAAAAAAAACAAAACATGAAGAGGAAGGAAAAGGGATGCCATGACTATGATCTAATGCCTTTCACAGGGAGGGGAAAAAAAAGTAAGATCAAGAAGGAGGAGAGGATGGAGGAGTTTGTTCCATCTCAGGATCGTAGAATGGCATTCTCTGCATAGATGAAGCAGTAGGAACATCCAGTAACCACAGATAAAAATAAAAATTAAAAATATGTAGGTCTCAGCAGATGAAAAACCTGACATAAATCACAGACAGGACTTTTAAACAGAATGGTGATTGTTTTTCTATTATTTTGCATGCTTCTCTTACTACTATGGATTTATAGTCTTTTTAAAATCTGTTATCAAATCTAATCTGGTGAAAGAATAATCTGAGAGGAGGCATGCCATTGCTTCACAGATTAATTCTTCCAATCCTCTCAGGCTGGCCCCATCCATTAGTACTCCACCTTAGAAGTACATAGCTCACACAGGGGCTGTGTAGAAGTGACTTTCAGGCCTTAACTTTACACAGGAAAATTCCCTGGCACATATCACTTCTGTCTAAAGTCTGAAGGCTCCCAGTGTGGAGGTGAAAATGTTGATGATGACAGTCCAGTACATTAATTCCTTACAGAAGAAAGCTCAATCATAGCATTTAATTAATGCAACTAAAGGAAGGTCTATTAGTACTAGACATAGAAAATTACTAATTAAAAGACATTTGTTCTTTTTCTTTCTGTTAACATTTCTAAAGTAAATCAAATATATTTACCTTCCTCCTCATCAGACTCTTCTGATGAACCTTCCTCAGGAAAAATTATTTCTTCTACCTAAGGTAATTGCCAATGGAGTAAAAGTGCATCACCAGTGCAAAAGCAAAGTCATCAAACACAGCTGTCACATCTTTACAACACATTAATCTTAATGTAAAAATGGATTTGTTACTCTGGAAAACAAGCAATTCTAAGAAGGACATTTGGTCAGTCTGATTTTCCTTAACTGAATTTCAGTTTGCTAAAAAGCTTTTTACTCTAAGTGGAGTTCTTTCATAGCCTTTTTAACAAAGCAAGCAATAAGACATTATTATTTCCCATGTCTTTGTTTCATATGATGTAGTTCCTAAGTTATATATAAGAAATACTTAGTCCTGAAAGAAAAAAGATTACAAAAACATTTATGAGCTAGTGGCATTTCGTCCATCTCTCCATTTCTTACATTGCCAGTCTAATCTGTAAATTTATGAAGTTTATATAAAGTACCATTATGGGAATTTGGGAGTTCTGAGGAGAACAAGCAACAGGGGAGGACTGACTCTGCTGCTACTGTGAATTCCAGCAGTGGGATCTTTCACAGTGCAGGCTATTGAGGTCAGACTGAGCTGTCCTTATGTCCTCATGTTACCTGGAAGTCAGGAGTCAAAGGTGATAAAATAAACTTGTTGAATGGCCTTTGTTTTTTGTAGCAAACAGGATTCATTAGGTGCAGAGCAATCCCCATGGCTTTGAGCAAACTGATCTAGTGAAAGGTGACACTGCCTGTGGCAAGAGGAGTTGGGCTAGATGATCTTTAGAAGTGTCTTAGAACCCAGATAATTTTACTTGATTTCTTAAAAAAAGGCACATCATATATGTAATTTTATTGTTAGGACAAAAATAGGAAAAATTAAACACTATCATAGGCATTTAGAGAAACAGTGTAATAAGAATATACATTTATGCATAAGTATCTGGTTTGTGAGTACCTCAGCACGTTCCTTCTCTCCAGCTGCAATTTCCCTCTCTTCTTGCACTAAATCTGTTACTATCTTAGTTATGAGGGGAGCATTTACACCTTTCACCATTGCAAGAATTTTACCATGCTGTTGAAGAGAAAATAACACTCTTAGTGAGTTTTCATCACTTAATTTGCACATTTACTTGAATATTTGAAATATGCAATATCTTGTTAATTTTTTCCAGCTACAGGATTATTTCTCATGACCACTGGAGGGAATACCAAAGCTACTACTGTGTGTATTATTTCAGAATGAAACTTTTGTGCATTTGATTCCTTACTTCTTTCTTTACCAAATTTTCCATGTCTATTTCTAGGCTCAATACTAATGATACAGTTGGAAGCAGATGCATATATGGATTTTATTTGTTCTTAATTTCTGTAACATGGAGTTTCCCGTATTTTTGTGTGTGTGCTTGTGTGACTTTTTACTGCATCCTCTGCCACATTCAGGTGCAAAATAGTGAAGCTAATGGTGACCAAGAATACTGCCGAAATTTGTAGGCAGCATTCAGATTCAAACCTGAAAGAGTCCTGAAAGTGTGAATATCCTTGGTCCTTGCTTATGGAAATTCATGTCCTGGCCCCCTCAAGATAAAATAACCCCCATCTCTTCCTAAGTGAACAGTGTGCTACAGCTGTGTCCTAGGAGAACCAGCTTTCTGTGACCATCAGTGAGAGATAATAAATATATGATTAACTGCTACAGTTCCTCGAGTATGAAAACACAATTTTATTTGTTATCTTAAAAATCTTATAATGCCAGGAAATGAAACCTCTCTTTCCGTGATGAAAAGTGTGCATAAAAAACCATTTCAGTGTAACCACATGTAGGCACTTTATGTAAGGCAAATCTGGGAAAGTTACCTGGATTTCTCACTAATTACCAACACAGTGACTACCACAATTCTTCGTGGCTGTATGTGTGACAGCTACAACAAAAATGTGCTTGAGAACCACCAGATTCAGGCATGGGAAATGGCTCATGCAAAAAACATCAGATAGTACCATCCTACATAATATAAAATGTAAAGATAGGATTTGTACAGCTTCACATCTATTTTAAAATGTATTAAAAAGTTAAGGCAGAAGTAGGCAGCACATTTAAAATAAATTGATGTGATGTACTTACAACACTAAAAAGAAACACAGGTTCACAGCTCTTCCTAAATGGTTTCAGAATTTCAATGCTATCAGCTTCTGCCTGAAGTCAGACAAAAAAGATTATTTGCTTACATAAGTATGTATGCATACATAAAGAAAACCTTTTCACTCACAGGAAAACCCCACTCTTAAATACTTCGGTGTTGCTAACTCAAACTGCAGTCCTAAACACAACTAACAGTCCTTATAGTGATGAAGAAAACTGTTTTGGTAACATGGGATTGTCCTCCCTTTATATTACAGCAATTATTCATGGAAAAATATCTTCTCTTGATACTATTTTGTCATGTAGGTTACAAAAACATATGTAAATGAAGAAGTAGCCAATGTAGTCTTGACAGAAGAACTTATCCAGTGTATTAATTTTTTTGTGAAATGTGGTCAACTGTATGAAAGCACATGAGATAGCCTTGGAACATAACTCTCTGCCTTTTTAATTTATAGAAGATTCAAGTTTTTTTCTGTAAAGTTCTTTAATAAAGGAATTTTAAGTTTTCACTAAGGTGAAAAAGGATGAACTTGATCAACATCTTGGATAAACTGGGTCTTTGAAACAAATGTATCTACTTTAAATAGGGGGTATAATACACTCATATACATACACTGCTACTGTAAACAAATATTTTTATTACTACAGTTTTGTGATTTTATTAAATTTTCCCCTTTTTGTTTTCTTAAATATGAAAGAAAAGGTAACATTTTCAAAAAAGATGCAACAGTTTTTCAGGGATGTAAGAACTTTAAATGCAATGGTCCATAATGCGGAGACTTAAAACTAAAAGTTACATAGTCTGGCTTTTGAATATTTCTGCAATTTTATCAAGGAAAACAAAAGCTGTGGGATATCAGCTCTTTTTTATTATAACTTCTTATATATATCTTACCATTTCTAATCTACTTCTAAGCAAAGGCTTATGAGGACATATGCAGGGAAAGTAACCAGGCCAAAATTATGGCAACTCACTATAAGGACAGTAAAATGAAAGCTCTGCATATGCAGATCAGAAGATATATTTTAATCAAAATGTAAAGATAGTCACACAGAGTATTTGTATCCTTACCACGGCAAAATGTAGCACATTGTCTTCACTAAAGTCGATCCTTAGTTTTTTCAATAAATTCTGCACAGCTTTGCAAGGACCACACCAAGCTTGATACACATCTATTACTAAAATGTAATAGATTGGAATTATAAACAGATGATTTGAGGAACTTATAAAATGAGACCCTTATGCTTGCGCTGAAGCAGCACCGGGAAGGCATTCACATGGATCTTTCAGTCCTCTTCTAGACAATGAATGTATCAGGAATACATCAATGGATTCAGGGGATACATTACTGGATACATATTCTTTAATACAATTACTTTTGACATTGGAAACCTACTTCAGAATACTATTTGAGATTATTAATCCAAATAGCAACTTTTCTCTCATATTACTTTTATTTTCTCTTCTTCTTTCCCACTGTTGGTTTTCATTCTTATCTAGACCTTTATTCTACAGGATTTTCACCTCCCTGAGCTTTTGCCTATTACTATTCCTCTGTAGATATGATCCTGTTGCAGATTTTTTCCTTTTACGGAAAAACAGTTCCTAGGAAACCTAGGAGACAGTTACTGGATTAAATGAACTGAAAACTGGGAATAATGCATGTCATGGAACATGCACTCTCTAGAATGCTGCAATAATTACTTAGTCTGTGAAAGATTTTACACACAGAAGCATCCAACTCCTTCCCACGGAGAATACCATATTGAAAAGGTATTTTCTAAACACTGGTGTACAGCAGTATATAAAAATAAAAATTAAATAAATATTATTTTGATGAGTATTTATCATATAAGATACTGCATATTCATAATTGTAGTATATGATCTTAAAACTATTTTCCAAATGAAAGAATTTTATGGTTCAATGACTTATGATATATCTTTATAAATATATATTCATATCGCCTTTCTTTAAAAGATATGGTGCTAATCTTGTAGAGTATCTATTAAAGCTGCACATATGCCCATTAAAGATTAAAAAGAAAATATCAGCTAGGTACCTACTATACCCTTTATCTGCAGCATTTCATCCCACTGTTCTTGATTGGTTATTGTGGTCTGAAACAAAATTAATTAACATTTTAACATTCTAAAAAGGCAGAAAAATCATCTATTTCTTTCTAAAGTTGTTCAAGTAATTAGGATTTATACCTGAAACGGAATTTCTTTCTTCTTGCCAGCCATTTCCCTGTGATTATAGGAAAAATATTGAAATCCAAAACATTTTTAAAGATTTTTAAAAGACTGTGTGACATATAGAACTGATTTTTATGGTTCTCAAAGTATCACTGCTTTCTGATTCCCTTAGCAATTAACTCAACTGAAGCCCCTACAATTATTGTAGTTAATACTCCATAATTCTGTGGAGAAATATACAACTTTTTTGCAAAACCCACATGGCACAAGAAAAAGAAGAAAATTTAGTATCTTAATCTGTTAGAGTGTGCAAAACTTTTGACCTCAACAATCTTTCAATCTTATAATCACTCTTCTCAGAATAGCCACAGGTACCTTGGTGGGATGACAGCTGCTGTAACATTGGACCATTTCAGAAAAATATTGATTAAAGAGCTTCAACTCTAATAACATCAAATCAGTCTTCCTGTCTGCTGGGATACATAAATAGCAGTGATATACTTGTGCTCCAATAACTAAAGTCCCAAACTGAATCCTGATACATTCATCATCCTGTCATTAATGAATAATGTCCTTCATATATTTATGATAGACAATTAACTGTGAACTGGAAAGAACAACAGCTCTGCTACATATGTGGATGGATTTTGACTTCAGCATGGGCAACTTGAGTTTCTAGAGTTCTTGGTTAAGATGGTGGTCTTTGCCTCAGGAAAAATGATAGGCCCCCATGAATGTGACCTCCTCTGGCATTGTTATTTGAGAAGTCAACCAGCAAATATATCCAGGGTTTGAACTATCCTGATACACTCACCAAAGCTGTTCTCTTCAGATCACAGATGGAAGTATAAAAGACAATGTGAGAGCTCTTACCCTCATGCTTTTTTTCACATTTCATGTAAAATTGTTGGTAATAATTAAAATTTTTAATTCGGGCTTTTTTCAAATCCCTTAAACCAAGTGGTGGTACAAAGCATGGCATTAATTCCTGTTCTTTAAAGACTCCAAGGAGATGATGCTGACTACTGACACTAGAGGGAACTGGCAGATAGAAATATGTCTCATTACTAGGAAATCTTCATCAAAATAACCTATCTCTCATTGTTACCTTCTGCCACTGAGCAATAGCAATAAATTCTTCGCAAGATCAGTTCTGCAAAATATAAACCAACAAATGAAAATGGTCTATATACATCCCAATCGTTCTACACATGCTCTCCAACTAAAAATATGCAGTCGTACACACTCAGATGGCAAAGCAAAGCATTGCAGAACAGACATGTGCTGCTGTATGAAAATATGCAAATGTGCACATTAGTCTGGCATAGGAACTGTATGTGACAGACATGTGAAGGCTACACATGGTATCTATACTTTTAAATAACATTTTCACATAACATTCCCTCAGTAATGCACTCAGTACTATACTGATTTAACCTGAACAGACAAGCAGCTTTTCTCCTTTGTCTGTAATACGGGCAATGTATTTCTCTAATTTTGACAAAAGTCATTTTTCTATCCATGCTTCATCATGGATATGCAAACTCTGCATCTCTTACTATATTCTTTACAACCAAAACTGCTTCCTTGTACTAGTCAGACATAAAAATAGATTGGGGCACACACTCAGATACACTGTCAAACTGATATTCAAATATGCACAGTCCTTGCAGATAGCCATTCAACATCTTAGCACAAACCCTCATCACACATATATACATTAAGATACCCAAGAGCTTGTGAGATTTTGACATGCTGCTGTGTCTCTGTGCTTACAGACACATAACACCCTGAACATAAGCTCTTGTGTGTGACAGTGGATCCTTGGGAGTTCCTAGGTGGCACTTCGGTGGATCATCTGCCCACACATACACACAAACAGAGAAATATGTGCAGGTGAACAAATGCACAGACACACAGGCCAGCTCAGGGCTGACTGTGCTCTACACAGATGCTGTAACCAGGAAGAGCTCCCAGACACTCGTGTACCCCATGGTTTGACTCACACCCTCCACAGCAGGCACAGCACAGCACAGCACAGTGGCTTGGGTGCCACTCAGCCCAGAGGTAGGTGTCCCCTCAGGAGCACACAGGCCCCCCAGCCCACCTGCACCCACCCTGGAGCAGCCGCTCACCCGGGGACGCTCTGTGGCTGCCCAACTGCTGCTGCTTAACTGCCCTAACGGCCTCCCCAGCCTTTAGCCAGCCCAGCCCCTTCTCTGCTCCACCCCTAAGGGTCCATTTCCCCCCATCACACTATTTTATCAGTCTGGGGTCGACATGGCACAGAGATACAGGCTGAGAAGGAAATGGAGTGAAAGGTTGGGAGAAAGCACCACTATTTCCTCTGTTTACTTTACCTTATCCTTTTAACTTGTGAAAAAATTAATCTTGGCACCTAATTAATGATCTGCCTGCACTCTGTCATACTTACAAATTGTGAGACAACGGAGACTAAAAGAGGAAGCTTTTAGTGGTGGTCCTGTTGACCAACAGAGGGTTACAAAAGCCAAATAGTGGTGACTGCCCATGCTCGTACACTATCAGTGCAGGTCTGTCATCATGCTGGTGCAAAACAAAGTTATCATTTTAAATGCTCATTTGCACCTCAGCAGCCCCCAAAAATTCACAGAAGATAAAGGCAAAACTTATTTATACACATAGCAAACACAATTGTCCAGAGTACAGTGTGGCCACCTTCATGTATTAAATCTTACAGGCATTGTAACTGGTGGGAATTTCTTTGTGAAGGTAAAGGCTGGAGAATGTTCATGAATCAAATGTTGGTGTCTCTAAACTGCAGACATTTCACATATGCATGTTGTTACAGAACTATAAATTGTCCTTGTATCCAATTTATTTTTGAATCCCTGCCCAAGCATACTATGTCCTACCATGTGTGTCTACCACATGTTAAGAAAATCTAGTTTCAGTGACTTTCTTGTAGCTTTTCTTGAGCATTCTGGTGCTGCTCACCAAAGCATGACTTGCAAAGCCCCAAAAAAGCTTTCATTTGATGAAAATAATATGAAGAAAAAAGTAGGGGAAACAAACTCTTAGAGGCACTAGAATAGACATTCTTCCTCACTGTTAAATCTTCCCAAGCTGATGGATGTTCATTCTGCAGCAGTGGGAATGAGGCAGTGTTTCCACAGAGCTGGAACATTTTTCAATGCTGAGACTATGCTATGTCCTAACACCTTGGAGTAGATCAACTAAGTGGCAAGAAAGATTTTGTATGCAGATTGGAAATAATGTATTTATATGACCAATATAAATCACTTCCTACATTTTTTATGGGAAAACCTTAACTTTGGAACTAGAACAAGCTCTACATTGGCCTGCTTGGGAGTGGTGGAGTGCCATTGAATAATCTTTATTTTCCTCCATGAAGTAGGAAAACCACTTTTGAAACCTTCATAGATGTAGAAAATTGGAAAGAACTACAAAAGATGAGATATTTAACCCAACAGCCATGTGGAAGTTAGACTCAAAGACTAGGCTATGTTTTTGGGATTTCCTTCACAAACTGCTATTTTTTTTATGCAGACCACTTTCTTAATGAACAACCACTTTTTTGTATATTAAAATCTTCCCCACCAAAAAAAAAAAGTCTTGAAGAAAAACACTAGAATGAGGTAATGCTCATGTACTAAATGTTAAAAGGCTGACACAGCCTGTTCTTTAAGTGCTCTGTTGGAATGAATTATATGTATGCTTTGGATATCCCAAAATAGTTAATGTAAAGGGATTTGGTATTTCAAAATGCTGAAAAAATAAAAAATATCATCCCTTTTTAGTTTAGAGAGTATCGTTTATAAAATTTTTAATGAATTTAATGACATACTTAGCTTATGCAGACTTACAGTATTCATGGTCATTATAAAAGGCATCCAGAGAGAAGTGGTTAGGAGTTTACGAGGTATTTCCCTGAATCAAAATGATTCAAATTTTGTATAATGTATATGAAATGTATAAGGAAAATATACAATGGATAAACCATAATGGATTCATAATGAATGATTGCATAATTTTTCTGAGTAACTTTTAAACTATTTTGCTCCATTTTGTGCATACCACTTGATTTCAGGTCTGCTCTTTGTCATGAGCTGTTAGTGTCCAGAGTGACCTAGTTCAAAATTAACATTCTTTTACAAAGTAATGGAAAGCAGTTGTACACCCTGCTGAGACTTGCAACCCTTGAGACAAAACTAGAGATGCATTTTTCCTGCTAATCAGTCTTTCTATGAGCCCTAATGTATGCTCAGCAGCCAGTGCATGTGTAGCTCTGATGACTATCAGCTGGTAAACACAGTGGAGGCCTTGATCACCTTAATTTATAAATTTTGTGGTCTCTTCTGTGGCTCTATAGTCCACATCTGTACTGGTGCATACAGTGTATTCAATCTATGCATGGTGGAGTTCCTGCATGTCTCCTGGTGTTCCTCCTGCCCTCTCTTTGATTCAGTTTAGGACTGCTCATGATGAGAGAACATCTGACCTTCTCCCTCTTCTGCAGAACTGTTCTTAGCTTGGCAGTTCAGCAGCCGCTGTAACTTGAGAGCTTTGTATGTGTGAATTGGCTTTTTCTGCACCAGCCATAAGGAGACTATGGATCTGATAGAAGTGGAACAGCTTTCTGATTTCTTGTATTTTCCTCTAAAACAGAAAGGAAGTATGTGAAATGGTGTACAATTTAATTTCTTGAAATCAAAAATAGCGTTTATAGTTTAGAAAGTGGAAAACTGAAGAACGTGATTTGTGCTGCTGCAAGTGCAGATCTCTGTCAGACAGTTGCTGGTGGGATAATTCTGCCCAGTAGGACTGTTTTGGTAAACAAAGAAAGAGCATAAAATAAATAAATGTACAATTTTCTGTAAGGACTTACTGTGACACACCAGCTTGTGTGCTCTCAGGTTGAGAGATTAGGTCATTCCAAAACCAGGCAGTTGGTTTCCGAGTGGCAGCCCAAGACCTCCACAAAATCCGGTTGTGGAGGTTTGAGAAGCAATTATTTTTGCCCATTAGGTGGTGACTGACACAATGGATTTGACAGCTTGCTTTTCAGAAGTGACCCAACTTTGTCAGTGGTGTGTACGTTCCCCTAATTTGCCCTGCAGACAAGATGAATAGTAGCCCCAAAGGAAGTTACTAATACATCAACTTCTGGAGTTTGTGCCACAAGAATATTAGTGTGCAATATAGATAAAATGAACAGATGAAAGGAACTGAGATAATGTAGTGATCAAGACATGTGATAAATGCCTTTATAAGTATAGGCATTAATCCTCCCAAGTAATATAGCCATTACCTGGGACTTGATATCCTAGAGCAAGAAAAATCAGGGATTTTAAAATTTTACCTTATTCAAAGAATCTCAAAATTATGTGACTAACAGCATGGCTAATAGTTGTGGATGTACACATGATACTTTTATTTATCTTTAGTTACAGCCTCTGTTAAAGTTTTTAGTTTGGTAATTTGAGTGTTAATATTTTTATGTATTCATTTTTTGTTATTCCTTGTCTGCATATTGGTTCATCTTTTGAGTTTGTGAAACACATTTGACAACTTACATACTGATTTATAAAATATTAGAGTGTAACTTTGGGAACACCCTTTGTAGCTGTAGTATATGCAAACCCATGAACACAAGAGTTTAGTGAGACATAATGAGTGATTTTCAACAGCTCAAGAAACTGGCAATTCTGATTTGCATCATACCTAAGCCAACTGAAAACAGACTAGTAGTTTGCTCTCTGGCAATATCAAATGCACTGATTCATCAGATTTACATACAATTTTCCACTAGTTATGTGTACAGGTTAGCCTTCTACTCAAAGAGAGACAGAGGAGACTGGTCTTTGCAATGGAATCTAGAAAGTGTAAGAAAATGAAGAAAAATATCTTCCTGTATATTTGTCGTAATCTGTGGGTATTGGTGATTCCGAGATTGTAGAAAGTCTCTGTCTTTCTGCCCCGTTGCCAAAGAAGAAGCCATAATTCATCTGTGCTGTTTTCAAGGTTGTTTATTCTGTTTATCTATAACATGTTCTGCTGCCGTGCCGCAGGTCTGTCCTGCAGGGCAGCGTGCGGGGCTCTGCCCCTCAGTGGGATAGTACAAACATTATATACCAGAAACTACATGTACTATATTTACAATAATGTGCCAATATCTATCATCTACGTTGAACAGTGTGTTCCCAGCCTAAACCAATAGAAAAATGCCAACACTACAGTGAAACATGGAGGGCATGAAGAAGGAGGAAAAGGACAAGACACACCCAATTCCTCCATCTTGTCCCCTCTGAGCCCCTAATCTAGAAATCTAAAATTTTACTTTTGCACCCATGTCACACTTAATTATTACTCTTATCAAACACTCAAAGCTTGTAATTCATCCTGTAAGATTG